TTTGACGGTGGTTTGAAACATAATCATGGCATTAGATATCTGGCACAGTCCTTCTGGCCAAAGAGAGTCGGGGAAAATGGTACAATAAGTGCTGATCCTATTATAGATCTTAGGTTATATTCGAAGAGCCATAGAAAGCCATTGGAATATGTAAATCAGAGGGATGTCATAATCAGAATCTAGAAAGACTCCTTGGGTACATTTGTAGGGAATGGATTGGCAATATTTCAGACAAGTGATGATAATGTCTAGAATAAAGGTAGTAGTGGTGGAGATGCAGAGATGCAGGACGATGATTTGAATAAAACCTGGGTATTCCTGAGAAGTGATTCCAGAAAACTATAGTCAGAAATATGTAAATCTGACTCCTGATTCCATGCAATGGACTCTCTCCCTCCTGACCCTTCAACTGCTGAACCATTACTCCAATTGCCAGAGGCCAGGAATTTTTTAATTCTGTCCCTCACACTCTTGAGCAATTCTAATAATTAGAAAGTTCATCCTTTCACTTTCTCCCAGTTGGTTCTATTTCTGTTCTCTGGATCTTTATATTATTTTCCTGGGGCTGTTATAACAAATTACCATAAATTTTGTAGCTTAAAACCACATAATTGATTCTCTCACAGTTCTGGAGGTTAGAAGTCCAAAATCAAGGTTGCCCACAGGGCTACACTTACTCCAAAGCCTTTGTGGGCAGTCTGTTATTTGCCTATTCTAGCTTTTGGTGGCTCCAGGCATTCCTTGGTTTATTGCCACATTACTCTGATCTCTGCTTCCATGGTCACACTGCCTTCTCCTCTCCTCTATATGTGTCTTATTAAGACACTTTTCATTAGATTTAGGGCATGCTGAGATAATCCAAGATGATCTCATCTCAAGGTCCTTATCTTAAATTATGCCTGTGCAGACCAATTTTCAAATAATATCACATTCTTAGGTTCTAGGGACTAAGATGTGGACCTCATTATCTTACAGAAGAGTGAAGTGGACTGTTTCATAGCACCAAAGGCTGGATTTTAAGTATTAATTCCTGGAGAAATTCTCCAAGTTTTGATCAAAACCACTTCAAAAATTTATATCACATCACATCTTTTTCATCTAATTATGTCATTTTGCCAGTTTATAACTGGAAAAATTACTTAGCCTTCCCAAGCCTCCAGGATTTTTGTTGTAGCTGTAATTGTTGTTTTTGTTGTTGTTGTTATCAAGTAGGATAATGATACCCTTTCATAGGGTTGTTGTGAATATTAAATGACATAATATATGAAGAGCAATCAGCACTATGCCTGCCAAAATATCACACTGCTCAATATTCGTTGTTATTATTATTCTTTCATAGTACTTTGAAGTTTTTAATGTGTAACCAGTGATTCATCTAATTTAATACTTATAATCCCACAGTTGAGTAGGTATTATGTCAGGAAACCTAGACTCGGCAAGATATTACCCCAATATTAGTTTAAAGATAATTTTTATTTGTTCCTTCTCTTCCCCAAAGTGACTTGAAGCAGTTTCAAAATATATGTGTGTATATATATAAATATATACTTAAAAAGCAGTAAATTTGGAAAATCAACCAAGTGAAAGGTAAGTATTCATATCAACCATAATGGTAGATTCAATTCCATCAATTGAGTGTCATATTTGTCTCTTACAAGAATGTTAGCAGTGGCTCTGGCTCTTCTGGATGGTGGAATAATGGGTTAATTTTTTTATGTCTCTCCTTCCCCTGTTTTTACTCTTCCGTACTTTATAATTTTTCTATAATGAACATGTATTTATTTATTATTTTCGTAATCAGAAAGAAGCTACTTAACTGAACGTTGCCTTCTTGATAGTCAAGGGAAGAGGGGAAAAAGTCAGTCACTTAGGGGCTTCCCTGGTGGCGCAGTGGTTGAGAGGTCCGCCTGCCGATGCAGGGGACACGGGTTCGTGCCCGGTCCGGGAAGATCCCACGTGCCGCGGAGCGGCTGGGCCCGTGAGCCATGGCTGCTGAGCCTGCTCGTCCAGAGCCTGTGCCCCACAAACGGGACAGGCCACAACAGTGAGAGGTCCGTGTACCGCAAAAAAAAAAGTTTTACTATACTTATATAGTAAAATCAGAAAGGAGCGAGTGTGTCAATTCCTTCAGGAAAATAAGTTTTTCTAGTATTGTTTTTACTTTCAATACTAATCAGTATAATGTACTTTGAACTCAGCATAATTTCTCAGCAAATACATTGACAATGCCCCCAGATGCTTCTTGCAGCGTTGATCAGAAAAAGCAGAAGGTGTATGTGATTCTGCAATGGACTAAGATTATGTGGTCCTTAGACAATTACTCCTAAAGATCACTGTGAAGTGAGCCCAAGAGTGAGCAGAAAGGCATCACTCCTGGATCTGGTTCATCAGCACTGAGTTTGAAAATGTGCCCAGAGCTGGCTATAACAGCTTGGAGTATCTGGGGATGATAAATATGTGTTTAAAGTTTTGCAATAATATTGTGTATAGTATAACTCCAGAAATGATGGAATACCTGGTCTAGATGGGTGGCCCTTAGCCTGTAGCCACTTTAAACTAAGAGTAGGAACACTCTAGTCACTGAGGAAGACAGTGACACTACCAGAAGGTGTGAAGTAAATATCACTCCAACTGTATCATCTGCAACAGTGCACCCTTTGATAAAGCACTGGAGGTCAAGAGAGTCATCTCGACTGGTCGAAGAAACTATTGCAAAGCTCTCTGCCACGTATCCTGATCATGCTGATTTTCTTTTGAATCCAAAAGTAAATCCTGCCTGATTACCCAAATTGTCAGTGCCTGATCTTCTTGTCAACTCTTTCCTATTATGACCTTTGTCAAGAGAGTGATTGTAAAATCATTTTAACACCTGAGCTTTGATGGGAGATTGAGCGCAGAGAATTTGGGATTATATTTCCATTGATAAAGATCTAGAGTAATGGAATTCAAGGTTGTTGACTGAGGAAAGATTTTATTTGGAAGCCAGATGAAAATGCGGCAGAGATGAATAGACTGTGAAAATAGAGCTGATAATCGTATTCTTGCTCAGAGGAAAGTCTTCGCTCGAGCAGCCCATTAGTAGCAAAGTTGGAACACAGTTCTTTTTTTTTTAATTTGATTTATGAGATTTTCAAACATATACAAAAGTAGAGAGTAGAGTATAAAGAACCTCAGTTTCAACAGTGATCAACATTTGGCCAATCTTATTCTCTATCATCCATATCCAAGATATCATATCGTTACACATGTAATGATGTGGAATCAAAGTATAAATTGAATTATAATAAATACATTTGTAACTTTTATTTCCCATTCATGACAGTACTTCATGTAATTTCACAAGCTGTTTTTAAATACATGCAGGTACGTTTATTTTGTCTGTCCTTAAGTTTTAAATTTCTCCAGGAAAAGAATTTTTTTCCATGCCTCCCTCTGCAACTCTCTCTCAGGACCCAGGACAGTTGGGTGGTTGAAGCAGTGCTTCATAAATGCTTTCCACTGCAAGATACATGCTGCTGTTCTGATCACCGTAAACAAAGCTAACAGAATATTGATAAAATAGCAAAGATAAATGCAATGTTGCTCTCTAACAGCTATATGGTTAGAAATTATTATATATTTAATTGGTATAAAAGCCAATTATCACAAACTTCATCTAATGACATTATCACCTCTATTCCATCTTTTTATTCAAGAAACCAAGTCAAATACGAACCCCAAACCTGTGAAATCACTTTTTTTCTTTCTCTTCATCTTTTCACGATTTTTGTAATGTTCCCTTTAATACGTTTTGCTTTTGAAACCTGATGAGTGGAAATTCATTCAAGTCTGACTTTATAAGCGTTAGCTTTATAAGTGATTCTTGGGGCTTTTTAAATATTTGTTTTTAATCTGATATCTCTGGAAACTTTCTCCTCCCTAACCAAGAATGTGCTTGCTCTCTCTCTTTCTCTCTCTCTCTCTCTCTCTCTCTTGCATCAAGATCCACCCACCCACCCTCAAAATTACCCTTGCTGAAAACAATCAAAACTATTCCAGTCAAGGGAAAGAATTTTCCAGAATTTAAGCATCAAGTCAAAACTACATATTATCTATCAAACCAGATGTTTACCTGTTCGCTGCCAGAGAAGCTGGAGGTACATCAAAAACCAGTGACGGGAACAGCTTTGAACCTCATGCAGAAGGAGGCAGTTCAGGAAAGTTTGGGGTTCCCGTAAGCCCTGTGGGCCTGCAGATATATTTAAACTTAGAAAATGGTTTTTCTTGGCTAACCAGATTATGGCAGGCCATGTAAGTCTTTTGTCTGTAACTACATTGGGAATTTCTGCTGCCTGTTTTTTTCCTGTGTCCTGGTAAAGTCCTGCGTGATTTTAGTGAGTCACTTGGCATTCTGAGGCCTGTTCTCTTGTCTCTGAAATCTCTTCATTCTGACTTTCTATGATTCTAACTCAGTCTCTTTCACTGCCTCTTGGCATGCAACAGGAAGTATCAGCTTACCCAGGGGCATAAGTGTCAGTCAGCTCCTGAAGTGTCAGGAATTGTTGATGATCTTTATTTACATAAGATGGTGGCTTCTGATGACACTTTGAGGGTAGGACCCAGTCAAATCAAATACAACTTGGTAGGCCTAGAGTTCCCTCAGAGAATATATTCTCTCTTTCCAAGCGATTTGTAAATTAAAGCAGGCTCTAAGACAAAGTGGAGAAAAGCATCTCCTTTCCCCAAGTGGTTCCAGCTAGGCATGGGCAGCTGCAGAACTAGCTTGGTCTCCCAGAAACTCACTGGGACAACTGAAAAAGGGGAATAAAATTCTAAGCTATCTTTGAGCTATATTTCACAAATATAGCTAGGCCAGGGCTAGGCCAGGGCTACCCACCACTGACGGTATCAGTGTGCTTCCATCCAACTGGTCACTGTTGCTGAAATTTTAGTGCTTCCTCATGTTTCTTAACTAAGAACCACCGGGTTTACTAATCAATACATTACAAAAGAGCATTTAATTAAAGACATCATCTGACTTATTTTTATATGAGATATTTACAATATTGTCTTTGATTTATAAGAAGGGAAACCAATGTGTGTACAAGTTAAGGGAATTATATACAAAGCTAAACAGCAATGACAGATCCAGAATCATGTGGTATTTGAAATGCATCATCTGAGCAGTTGGTCTTCAGTGCCTTTTGCTGTTGGACTAGAAAGTGAAAGCTACTTCCAGAAAAACACAACTCTCCTTTTGAGTTCCAACTCTTTGAGTTGAGTGCTCCACTCTCTAGGCTAATATGATTTAGGTGAAAAGTACCTAAGTATCTGTTGAATTCTCTGGAACCTTTCAAATTCTGGTAAGGTCCTTCTATCATGACATATTATCAAATCTGGTAAAGCAACATAATTCTAGGGAGAGCTTTCAGCGGTATCAATTTTTGCATCCTCTTTAAGTGTTTGGAGAGCTCTCTGCCATCTCTTATGGCAGGTGGTGGCTGTTAATACTCTGGAGCAAGGTGGCAAAACTGTATTCAGAAGCTGATGCTCAATAGAAAGGACTTTAACTTTTGTGGGATTTTTTTGGTTTGGGTTTGTTTTTATAGGGTGCCGGCATGGTCGGATTCTGGAAGGTCCCTCTTCCTGGTTTGCAGACAGCACCTTCTTGCTAACTTTTGTGTGCTTTATTCCTTTGGTCCTATCCTCAGCACAAGGAAAGGCCAAATCATCCTAGATGATGTATTAGGGTCCCTAATACAAAGACCAGTAGGTTTTCTCTCTGTTCATCCAGAAGGAAGCTCCCACTGCCAGCACTCCTATCTCCACCTCAACCCCACATCCACTTCTGGACAAGGGTGGGGCTGACTGTGAGAAAGAACTGGGAAGGACATGAGGCCTGTGTTGTTTCAGTGGGGGTTTTGAGGTCACAGGGCAGATACGCCTCAGCACATAAACTTGCGCATGTTGGGAGCTATACCCCTTCATACTTGAACCTTTACAGAAGACAGACTTGGTGCACACGCAATTTAAAATTGAGGTCATGTAAATTCAGAGAGATTAAATGACTGGTCCAAGGTCAACACATTACTAAATATCAGGGATGGAACTTAAACCCCATTCTTTTGGTTCTAAATCCATGATGCTTGTCTCTATGCCTTATGACCAACAATTTCTAAAAGTCCTTTTCTACTCTCTAGTTCAATCATACTCTCCCACATTGAAGGAGAGATGCTCCAGTACAAAGCTGTTTGAACTACTCCTCCCTCCCATAATGTATTGGCATAAAATTGATTTGTTCAAGAAATACTGCTTGACTGCTTATACTAGATGCTAGGGAAAAGCAAGCAAGCAAGCCAACAGATTTAAAAACCTCTGCCCTTATGAAGCTTACAATCTATTGGAAAGAGACAGATAATAAAATAAACAAGTAAAGTATGTAGCATGCTAGATTTTGATGGATGCAAGGGAGAAAAATGAAGGAGAGGGAGACAGAAAGGGTTTGTTGGGGAAAAGGCTTATGTGGCCACCTTTGGGAAGAACATTCCAGGCAGAGAGAAAAGTAAGTGCCAAGGTCCTGTGGTGGAAGCCTGTCTGAATAATAGTGAAACAGCAAGGAGGCTAGTGTGGCTGGCAGAGCATGAACAGGAGAAAGAGCAGCAGGAAGTGATTTCAGAGAGTATCAGGGAGCCCAATCATGTACCGCCATACAGCCCACGTAAAGACCTTGGCTTCTCCTCTAAATAAGATAGGAAGCACTTGGAGATTTTGTGAAAAAGAATGACACGATTTGTCTTGACCTATATTTTAAAACAGATGTGAGAAGAGACTAGAAAGGGGAGAAAGCAGAAGCAGGGAGATTAATTAGAAAACTATGTCAACAATCTGGGAGAAAGATAATGATGGTTTGGGCCAGGTGGTAAGATTGGGGGTAAGAGTTGGATTCTAAATATATTGATAGAGCAAATAGGATATACTGACAAGTAGGATTTGGGATGAATGACAGTAAGAGTGGAGGGAACAGAGAGAGCACTGGGCAGGAAGTCTGAGATTCTGAGTTGGAGTTTTAGTCCCATGTCATGCTTTCAGTGTTACCCAAAGAAAGTCACTGAAAAGCTTAAGGCTTCATTTTTCACACCTATAAAGATGGGCTTAAAAACCTTCCCGACCTCACAAGGCTCAAATGAATATGATGTCTATGCAAAAGTTGGCTTGCTTACAATTGAATCACAGCTCTCTGTGACCCTGTCCAAGTTTCTTAGCCTAAGTGACTGTGGTAGGGAGACTGAAGTCCTATCTGGAACATTTTGAGAGCAAATATAAAAAACAAAAACATTACAGTTGTGAAGAATTACTTTAGGAAGCTTTATTTTTAGAAAGTTAAATCTCTTTCTTGACGAGCTAAATAACCATAGAAGAAAGTTGGTCCAAGAGAACTATTTTAACCAAAGCCTCATAATCCGTAGTCATACTATGGGATTTTGTACTCTTTGAACTTGTATTTATGAAATGTTACCTAGTTGGTGGTTAATAAATTCCAACCACTCCCCCCAAATCTTCACCTTCAGTTTTGGTTCTATTTAAGCACAAAAAAACTTCTTTTGGTTTCCCTTATCTCTGAGCTCATTTACCACCACCCTGGGAAGTTTCTAAATTTTTACTGCCAAGAAAACTTTGTGACTGAGTTATTCAAAGTGACTCAAATATTTACAACTTTCCCAACCTTGCTGAAGCATACAAAGCCCAAACTGTCTCTTTCCAATTCATAGATTCGGAAGAAACTCCCCTAATTGAAAGGTTCAGGATGAGTAAGGGGCAGTTGGTAAGACCCTCCCAGGGGTGAGAGGGCAGGAGTCACAAGGCAAGACTGGTGCTACCCAGGGATCTGCCTTGTCAGACAGAGCCATGTGCTCTGAGTCACACCTTCCACCTCCTCTCTTTGCTCTCTATGACCCTCCCAAGTCTTTCCCATCAAAACCTACCTATTCTAAGTCCAAGTCTCTCAATACCCTGCAAGGTAACTGATAAGCCATTTAATAAGCCAATTTAAGTTGAATTGCTAGTGAGGAAGAAGGAGTAGACCTAGGCCTCTCTGCACTTTAAGCGGAACTCCCAGAAAGATAATGGCCTAACTAAAATTATGGTGGAATGGTGGAATGCTTAGGCACTGTGAAGATAGCTGTTTCATAAAGGAGAGACTTTGGGAGAGACTCATGAAATCTCATAAGATGGTCTCCTTCTTTGCCTATACGTTAAGTGAGCAGTCCTCAAAATTGTCCTTGAGACCATTTCCGGGGTTCCACAAAGTCAAAACTACTGTCATAATCACATCAATTCCTTATTTTCATTGTCTCGCAAGTGTGCTGCGGAGCTTTCCAGAAGCTACCTGATGTGTGATGTTGCTATCACTCTGATGACTAATGAAATGCATGTTTGTAGATTTTTGTTTTTAAAGTTTATCAGTTTAAACTCAAATATGGTAAATATCAACAGACATAATTCGCTTTACAAGAAAGCTCTTTGGGGTCCTCAATAATGTTTTTATGTGTGTAAAGGGGTCCTGAGACCTTTAAATGTTTGAGAACTGCTGCTTTAATTTACCCTGTCTGATCTGGCAGCTGAGATACCAGAAAAAACAGCAAAACCAGAAGCAGGATGATAATTCCTACTAAATTCAAAACTGTGTGAGCTAATCCATTTGCAAAGGTTGGTATCTAAAAGCAAAATCAGATTGACATCTATATACTAATATGTATAAAATAGATAACTAATAAGAGCCTGCTGTATAAAAATAAATAAATTAAATTAAATTTAAAAAAATCCCCAAACAAACAAACAAAAAAGCAAAATCAAAACAGCACATATAAGGAAGTACTCCAAAATTGACCGGGTCATATCAAAAGGACACAGGCACCAACATGAAGCAGCTTTCACTGGTCAGATCAAGAACATCTGATCTGTGACGTTGTGACAAATCATAAATGCCAGCAGCATCTTTTAGGGGATAAGAGATAGAGGGGAGGATTTCACACACAGAGGAAAAATATACAGATTATCATTAATGCCCACATTTTCCACATTCCCTATGAGAATATCATGAACCAAATATTTAGAGTTGACACTTTTAATTATTCAGTATATTAATACAAATATACGAAATAATACAGAATTAAATAACATACGAAAACCTTACTAAATATATAAATATTCAATTCAACAGTGAAAACAACTTAAGTTTTAGTTTTTAGTTCCTAGGTCACTGGATAGAGACAAGAAGGCAAAAGATACTGAAAAAGTCATCAACTTGGTCGTATGATTATTTAAGAGTTCAAAATTGTTCCACTAGTTAGAACCATATATTTACAACAAAGGGATTTGTACACCCATACATGCTTCCTCTGCTATTGTGAGAAGTTAACTCATGAGAAAAGAAGCTGGGAGAGACAAAGCATTTGAATTAGCTGACTGCTATTCAGGAAACTTTCTAAATGCCGTATTTTCTAAATATGTCTTCATTATACTAGGCTGAATTTAGAATGACTAAAATAGGCCTGGGTTATATTATGAAACAAATGGATGAGAAATGCATGCCTTTTTAAAAATGTGAGCTGCTGAGACTAATAATATTTAGTCTGCTATAAAAACAGATAAGTAAAGCTAAGGTTGCCAATGTTACTTCACAATAAATTCAGTTCTGCTTCCACTGTGGTTAATATCACAGAAGTACATGAAGAATAGCAGTGAAACTGAGGGTTCTAGAAAGACCAGTTATTAGCAAAACAGTAAGCAGGTGGTGGACTAGATACCAAGTGATGAGGAAATAGACTTAACAGACCAAAGAAGAAGGGAAGAAGAGGTGGAATAGCCACAGAAAGGCAAAAGGTAGTCTCAGAAAAGTTCTTTGGTCCCTACCTTCCTGTATTCTTCTCTCTCTTTTTCATTTCTTTTCTCTTTGTTTATTCCTTTTTTTTTTTTTCCTGGAATTACAGCCATTTTTGGAGCAGAATGGCAAATTATTTGGTCCAAATCCTTAATTTTCTGTATGCAAATGTGGAAGCTCATTGAGATAGTGATTAACATAGAGTTGACACCAGTCGGAGTCAAAGTCAGTCTCTGAGTGGTGGCTCCTGATTCTAAGTCCAGTACCCTTTCAACAGCACAACATGGCATTGTTTTACAAAATCAAGTCCTACAACAGACCTGAGAGGTAAAATGACTTCCTCTTGGAACTCACAGAAGCATTGGGTAGCCTAGATGGCAGTAGAAAGTCTTGAAATTCTTACGCCTTTGACTCCAATTTCTTTTGCTCTTTTAGGTTCCTTGAAGAATGACCCTCTTTCTCCTGCTTGCCTCCTGAGTCAGATTCAAGTAGACCAGGGAATAACTTTCAGGGTTCTGTGTGACTCCTCTATGGCTCTGGGTAAAAGAAAGATCAAGATATTAACTTTGAACATTTATAATTTCTGTTCTAATAGATTTTAAGAAGATAAATAACAGAAGGATCAATAAACACAGAATTCTCCTGTGTATATTTCATCAGCCAAGAGAAGGAAGTAGACATTCCTGACCCAACATGATGTGAGGCAACTGTGACTCTCTTTAAAAGGACATGAGTAATTCTAGGAAATAATAGTTTGCTATTCCTAAGTAAGACTGTACTTGCTCAGTAATACACTTAAGACTACAAGTAAAAGAACACATTCAAGAATTCCAAATGATCTACATGTATTTTATTTATAAGACCTTGGGCTTTGTTTCCTGTGGATACTCACTTACTGGAGATCGGGTTGGGAATGGTCAAAAAGTAGACAGATAGAGGTCCTTTCAAGGTTATTAGCTTTCTAGCACTTAAACTTGGAGCATGCGGGCCTCTCTACAAGGCATGTAAACAGTGAAGTAAAAGACCTCGGATATCATCTTGGTTCCACATCTCACTCTCCATGTAATCTGAAGTAATTCTTTACCAGAAACTGCAAAGTTCTGCATGTTTTAATTGTGCCAACATTTCCAGTATCAGTGATCTGTTCAGCCGTGAAAGACAGAACAGCTCAGGCAAGAATGCCCAGGCTTATGGGTCTGTTAGCCACCTACTTTGTGATTGGATTTTGTTATGACATTTTGATATGATGGGTGGCATTTCACCCATTCAAGGGTGAAATTTTGTAGGCAAGTAGCCTTGGAATGCAAGATTCCTCCAAGCAACTCTAACCTAGTCGGTTCAATAAAGATTGCTTCACACTTTTCTCATATAAAGCACCCTTTCTTCTGCTTGGAACTAGGAGGACACTGGGATAGAGGTGAAGGTTACCACTCACCCAGCCTTCATCTGGAAAGTGTAAGTACAATTATTTAGCAAAGCAAGGATTCTCATTTTTTTTTGGAAACATATATCTTTTGTATTATCTTTCCAACTAATCACCAATTTCCGCAACACAAATTATTTACCGAGCACCTCTGTTATTTGATGTAGTACTAAGCTTAAAATAGGAAAAGTCCATCCACTGCACTACAAATAACTCAGTTTCATTTCTTTTTATGGCTGAGTAATATTCCATTGTATATATGTGCCACATCTTCTTTATCCATTCATCTGTCGATGGACACTTAGGTTGCTTCCATATCTTGGCTATTGTAAAAAGAGCTGCAATGAACATTGTGGTACATGACTCTTTTTGAATTATGGTTTTTTCAGAGTATATGCTCAGTAGTGGGATTGCTGGGTCGTATGGTAGTTCTATTTTTAGTTTTTTAAGGAACCTCCATACTGTTCTCCATAGTGGCTGTATCAATTTACATTCCCACCAACAGTGCAAGAGGGTTCCCTTTTCTCCACACCCTCTCCAGCATTTATTGTTTGTAGATTTTTTGATGATGGCCATTCTGACTGGTGTGAGGTGATACCTCGTTGTAGTTTTGATTTGCATTTCTCTAACGATTAGTGATGTTGAGCATCCTTTCATGTGTTTGTTGGCAATCTGTATGTGAAGTAAATCAGAAAGAGAAAAACAAATACCGTATGCTAACACATATATATGGAATCTAAAAAAAAAAAAAAAGGTTCTGAAGAACCTAGAGGCAGGACAGGAATAAAGACGCAGACATAGAGAATGGACTCGAGGACACGGGGAGGGGGAAGGGCAAGCTGGGACGAAGTGAGAGAGTGGCATGGACATAAATACACTACCAAATGTAAAATAGAGAGCTAGTGGGAAGCAGCCGCATAGCACAGGGAGATCAGCTTGGTGCTTTGTGACCACCTAGAGGGGTGGGATAGCGAGGGTGGGAGGGAGACGCAAGAGGGAAGAGATATGGGGACATATGTATATGTATGGCTGATTCACTTTATTATACAGTGGAAAATAACACACCATTGTAAAGCAATAATACTCCAATAAAGATGTTAAAAAAAATTAATAGGAGAAAGTGACATGATTCCACCCAAGATATAGTGTTTACCAACATTATCATTATTAGCATTGCAAAGAACCTATTTATAAGGTTAGATTATTGTGAAGTGAACTGAAAAAAATCAAGGCAATTATATAGATAATGTGGGCTTAAAAAAACCCACTTTTACCTGAAATAGTTAGATACTTGAAGAAAAGTGAGGTTTGGAATATGCATTTCATATGATTGTCTAAATCTTCTATTGGTTTCCAAATCAGCCTTGACCCAATCAAACACAAGAAGACTGCTACTCAAAATAAAGATTTCTAAAAATTAGGTGATTATCTATGATGATCTGCCCCAAAATGAAGTTGTTGTTTCTGAGAAGCTTGTGATCATTGGTGGGTTGGCTAATGAGAAATAAAAGATTATCCTCAACCTCAAATTTTACTTCACTGTAGTATGTGTGGAAGGGGCAACAACTGGCTTTAACAGAAAGAACTATCATGAAATGATGGAAAATTTCCCTAGGAAATTTTAATTTCTTCCCATTTTCTATTTAGTAATAAAGTACTGATTCATAAAAGAAAAAAAGGATGTTCTTTGAAAACCTATTAACCTATTATTGTATTGCTGTAGTCTCATGGGAAGTAATTGTGATGATTCCATTAGGAATGGTGCAAAAAGAAGTCACCTCTAGCTCATCACTAGTACAGCTTTACAGTTGAAAAACCCAACATCACACTCTCTGGCATTATACAGAATCACAGGAAAACTGCAGGGAGCCTGACTTCTCTATGAAAATAACATCTGTCATTAGAGATTACCCCTCTGTCCACAAACTATAAATTTGCTTATGTTTTTGTAAGCAAGAAATTAGTGATTTTAATCTAAAATAAACTTTTTTTGGTCATTTATCTAACAAAGAGTTGAACTTTACTTAACAGACTTTTCTTACTTACCAGATTTGTCTTACTATTGGGCAGCTCCAAGGAGATGACTCTTTGTCTACTCATATTCAATAAGCTCAAGAACTAATTCATCTCTACTCTTTCTCTCCCCACAAACTCTGCACACACACACACACACACACACACACACACACACACACACTCTCACACTCAGTTCCCCCTCTCCACTTCTATTTCTGTTCATATCACCCTTTTTTCAGGTCACCAGGTCCAGAATCTTGGTGTCATTTTTGACTGATCATGTTTCCCCACCCATCCAAAAGTTTTATGTTTCAGAAGATAATAGAAAGTAAAAGAGAGAGAGAAAGCAAAAAAACACAAAGTAAGGGTAAAGAAAGATATTCTGTAATAACCTAAATGGGAAAAGAATTCGGAAAAAAATAGATATATGTATATGTATAATTGAATCACTTTGCTTCACACCTGAAACTAACACAACATTGTAAGTCAACTATACTCCAATATAAAATAAAAATTAAAAAAAAAGAAAGATGGAAAGCAAATGTGGTAGCACTATTCACTTTCATCACAAATTGACAATCAAAATTTGTTACTTGAAGAAATAAAAAATGTCTCTATCTTTGATGATTTTCTTCCCTTTCTCCCAGCTTTTTGTATTACTTAAGTTTTGGTTTTAACAAACCAGTATTCCCTCAGCCTTGAGGGTTTGTCTCCAGAATAATTGACATTTGATTTTACTAGCTATTTAAGTATATGGAACCAAATAATCTTAAGCTGACTCGCTTCACTTCAGCAACTGAATAAGGCATTGAACAAACATATTTCCCAGAAAATACAAGACTTAATGAACAAAGGACAATTATTTTGCAAATGCCCCTTTCTACTGAAATTTACCTTGGGCTTGAATAGGTTGTATTATAAGATTCTTGTCCAAGGGGATTTTTAAAATGAATTTAAACACTTCATACTTTTCTGCTTGTACTTTACAGAAGAACACAGTAATATCAGCAAGCACAGACAGAAATAAATGCAACTAACAACAGCACCTTTCAAGTCAGGAAACTATAACTGAAAGCACATTCCAGCAGAGGTCAGGAGACCAGGATTCTAATCCTAGGCCTGCTGTTAATTAACTGTGTGACCTTAGGGAAGGAAGTCAACTTCAGTTCCTAACTGGAAAAGTGAAATGTTTGGAAAAAGTGGAATCAAACGGCCTTCTGCCTTTGACATTTTGCAGAGTGCTAAGGAGTTCTATGGGTTTAGGTTTATGTGCAATAAGATTATCTGATTTGCAATCTCCTGTCCCATACAGAACAAATCCCTTTATCTACTTTTGCAAAAGGGTCATTGACACTGGTGATTTGTTGCTTTTCTTATAAAGTCACAAGAATTAATCAGGTGTTTATATAAGGCTTATGCAAAATTAAATGTTCAAAAAACTGAGAAGGTGAAAGATATTCGTCTATGAGACATAAAATAAAAAGGAAAAAAGGTAGCATTTGAGTGAGATTTTTTTTTTTTTTTTTTTGTGGTACGCGGGCCTCTCACTGCTGTGACCTCTCCCGTTGTGGAGCACAGGCTCCGGACGCACAGGCTCAGCGGCCATGGCTCACGGGCTCAGCCGCTCCACGGCATGTGGGATCTTCCCGGACCGGGGCACGAACCCGTGTCCCCTGCATCGGCAGGTGGACTCTCAACCACTGCGCCACCAGGGAAGCCCTGAGTGAGATTTTTAATAGAAATGTAAAATAACACTCAAAGCCAACATTTTTTTCTTTCCTCTCTGTCAGTCATGTGAGCTGGAGAAAACTCCCATACCACCCCTTCATCTTGGGAAATTCCCATTACATACAACATAAACCGCAGCTTTGCATTAGCTTTCCTAAATTATGCACTGTCTTCAGAAACTAAAGAAATTTAATTCTTCCCAGCTGGCTGACACCTCTTGTTTGATACCATCTCTTGTTTTATATTGTCTCACAGTGTTTAAGACTCAGCATCTATGAGGTACTGAATTTGCAATTAAAAAAAAAATGGAATTGAACAAATCCCTTTGAAAATCTACCCTTCCATTCATTCACTCATTCATCTTTTAATGAACATTTATTGACCACCTGGTATACATAAGGCACTGTGATAGTTGTTGTAGGGGCTGGAGAGAAATTAACAGTGTATAAGGGCAGAATGACATGATGCAGTTATTATAAGTATGGATCACCTGTATGTTTGCCTAGAGTGTCTGAGCCATAGTGAGGGTATAACATAGAAAGCACTACTCAATTAGTGATCATATCAGACAAGTTCACAGTCTCTTAAGTGGGGTAGCTGACCTGTGGAATGCTGTAAAAAGAGAAGAGATTGTCCTGGGTGGAATGAACACAGCCTGGGTGCCAAGACTTCCCTGCTTTTGCCATTAGATGATTCCATAGTGATTGAATAAACATTTTCCACATGTCCTCTCATCAATCCTTACTCTGAATTTATAAAAAAATTGGCCTTTAAACCATCTTGGCAAATGAAATGCAGAAACTAATGTCCAATTGCAAGAAAATGACACTGAAGTGTTTTAAAATACCATCAACATTTATGTATTCTGGAAACACCAAACCAAACACATGGTTGTCACCCCTTTACTTATATCTTCATTTTACCCCCGAATTGTCATTAAACAATCATTTTTTTCCTTCTTTGTACTTCCCATGGGGACTCACCTCGGTCTTGGTTCCGACGATGTTTCCAGTATAGTAGGATTGAAATTAAGACCAGAAGAATTACCAAGGAAACAATACTTAACAGTAGTGGAACTGAAAACCAAAAGCCTGTGGATATTGAAGGGAGAAAAGGAAAAACAAGTCATAAGTGGAAGCTGTAGAGGCAAAAAGCGATAAAGAGACAGTTGTGATGAGTTTTTACTAGAGCTGAGCTTTCAATGAAAATTATTCTTAAATATATATATATACTGAAGTCTATATTCATGACCTCACATTATTTTAATAACATTTAAATAATAATAATCACTAACATGTTTTATGTAGTTACAAAGTTGTAGGAGCTTTGAATGTGTTACCTCATTTAATCCTCTAAATAGCCCAAGAGTTAGGTCTTCTTATAATTATCTAACAGATTAAAAAAACAAACAACTGAGGCTCAGAGAAGTTAAGTAAGCCCAGAATCAGTGTAGTAAGTGGTAGAACAAGGCTTGCTCAGAGGTCTGTTTGCCTTCAAAGCACATATTCTTTGCCATACTATCCATTAAAGTAATATGTTTATTGAGGAATTGTTGAAAAATACAGAGAAATATAAAGGAAAAGAATAATGAATCTCATGATTCCAACCCCCAGGAATAACTCATCTCAATGTTTTTATTGTGTTGCTTCTAATCTATGCCTTTGTTATTAAATCTCTTTCCAATAGTCAATAGATGCAACTTAGCCTGAATGTCAGCCCCTCAGTGTCACTGTGTAATACAAAGGCAGAAGAAACACTCCCTGATTTGCGAGTCTCCAGCATCTTCTCCATACCTTTATCATGGAATTTGTCACATCATACTTTAACTGAGCACCTTCAGATTTGTCTAATTTCACTGGTTCTAGTGCTCGACATAATGCTTTAAGCATGAACGATTTTTAGTATATGTTCGCAGAATGAACAAACATTATACAAAGGATGCATAAACATTATAAATGATATGTCAATTTGGGCACTCTTGGAAAGACATGTTCCTTTTCAGATTTTTGTTTTTCAGGGAAATTTACCCTTCACCGTGGCTGAATCTGAGGATCTCTTCACAAATGTCCAAAGCTAATACTGTAAACCTCTTGAGCAAATTTACCTAAACGTTTACTTTTTGATTAATCTGCTTTTTCAAGGACCCCAGAAATGACTACAGGATATGTTCACTAGAGGCCACCATACCAATGAGGTCTAAACTTTTCCAGCTTTTATTGTTTACAATGCGCCCAGAAAAAAAGCAGCAATATCTTTTTATAGGAGGCTTATTGCTGAGTGCCTCATCCAGAGTTAGTGCTTCAAAACTGCATAGAGAAAGAAAACTGTGGCAGTCATCACTAAAGTGTCCTGTCTCTAAAACCACCGCTTTCTTTATTCTCTCTCCCATAATCTTTACCTCTTGTATTGATGAGGCCCAGAGACAGCAGTTTAGATAGAAACGCAGGAGAGCAAAAGAGGTCCTGAACAGGAGGCAGTTTATTTTAAAAGAGGGTGAGGAAAACATCTCAGATTGGCCCCCTTCCTAAAAGCCCCTTTCCCACAGCGTAGATAATGCAAAGGTTTCATCCTGAATGTGGCTTCTTCCAGGAAAACATCCTAATCCCTCCAGATTGAGCTGATGCTCCTTTTCCCCTCTCTCAATCCTCCCATGGTGTACCACAGCTGTCTTTTTTTTTTTTTTAAGTAGAGAAAGGTTTATTGCAGGGCCAAAGAAGAACAAGTGGCTCATGCTGAAAAACACGAACTCCTACTATAGCTTTCTTATTGAAGGATTTATCATGAAGTTTTACAATTGCCCAGCTCCTTTTGCATTCCCTCCTAGACTAGAAGCTCCCCGTGTGAAGGGACTGAGTCCTCACTGTTTTGTTTCTGGCAAAACAAATGCTCAGTTAGTAGCACGGAAGAATAAATCAATGGATGGATCTCAGCAAAAGCGTTCAGTATGTGGGCAACATACCACATTTGCCAAGGTAAAATTGGCTTTATTGGCTTCCTCAACTCTGTTTTTCTTTCCCTACTTATCCCTTTCTCTCCCTTATCAGCTCCTTTGCTAAAGGCCAAGAGGCTCTGCAGAGCATTCACCACCTTGCAGGTGTGTGTCCACAAATGTGACCACGGTAAAGCTTGCCCTCTCTCTCTTACCTTTGTTCACAGTTTCCCTGTAGTCGGTCACAGTCCCCAGGTGCAGTACCTGGCAGATCACCTCCTTCCCCACCTGACTCTTGGGGTCTTTGATCTGGAGGATGCTGGTGACAGACGTTGTCCCATTGGGGTGTGAGAGAATCTCAGTACTGTTCTCAATCTCTGACCCAGAGACCTTCCAGGAGATCATAGGGGCTGGGCGAGCATTGGCAGAGCAAGTGATATTTAGGTGGTCTTCAGATAGTTTATAGTGAAGGAATACTGTGGGCTGTACTGGGACAAAAAAAATGATCTTCCATCAGTTAAGCATGGTGTGAGTGCTACACTCTCCTCAGAGAGATGAGAAAAAGATCTTTACAGAAAGACAGTGGAGGCTAGAAAGATAAGGTAACACATCCATTCCAAACTGCGGCCTTCCGGGTTCTTTCTGTGTCTAATTCTCTGAATTGCAGGAGAGAGGCTGGCCTAGTACAACCCTGTGACAAGTACGATCCTCCCTGTAGTTTGCCTCTAGGAGAATTAGCTGGAGGGACAGAAGGTACCTTCTCCCCCAAACAGTGCAGAGCCTAATTATTCTTTTCTCTTCCATGGGCAATGTAAGATCTCTGCCTTCTTCTGGGTACCCCTCTCAAATAGTTTGACAATGACCACTAATCGGCACCTCCACACAAGTAGTCTGCACTTCTCAGAAGTGCGAGGGCAGTTTCAGAACAGAGAGCCCGTAGGGGGGCTGCTGCTTAGAGAAAGCCTTTTTCTGTTTGGAACTGAGCCAGGGAGCAAGATGCATGGAGCAGACTTGGCAAGTCCCTGCTTGAAATAGCTATACAAAACGTCACTTAGAAATTCATAGTCAGTAGTCAGAAAATCACAGAATGACAGTTGTAAGGACCGTGGAGATCACCTTATGGAGTTAACAGAAAATAACTAGCTTATGAAAGAAGGACATTATTTTTAGGTCAGCTGTATCCTGTTCCCTTTCAAAAGTCCCTTGATTAATGAGTTCATTTCCTTTGGAATATACAGTTTATCTCTGCTGAGCAAATGTAAACTTGCCTTTCTTGTGGTTGGCTTTGGAGCCCACAAGATAATTAAAGGGCAATGCTAAATGAAAGCTTGTCTGTGCTCAGAAGTTCAAGAAGTGGGTGGGTGGCAGTAGGCTGGAGAAAATGAGCCTATAGGACGGTGGCTCTGTCCAGAGTGCCCAGATTACTAACATCAATAAGCCCTGGAGGAAGAGACATAAGGTAAAGGAAGATGAGTATGGTTGACATGGCCAGATTGGCAGCAGGGTTCTCTGGTGTATCAAAGAATGACTTAGATGAAAGCTATAAGTTGTGGCTGGAAAGGATCAGTGTGGAAAAGAACTACAGAATTACTCGCTAGAAGATGCAGGAGAGTCTGCTTTTTGGGCAAAAAAATAATACAAAGGTTATGAGTAAAGAAGGGGGAGTAGGAGAAAGAAAGATGAACAAAAAAGAAAAAGAAAAGGAAACAGACAGAAATGAGAAAAATATGACACAAGAAGGAAAAGGAAGAAAAATGGTGGAAAGAAGGAAGGAAGGAAAGGAGAGGGAGGGAGGGAAGAAAAAAGAGCAAGGGAGGAAAAAAGGAAAGGAAAGAGGAAGGAAGGATTGGAGGAGGGGAGAGAGAGAGAAAGACAGGGAGACAGAGGGAGAAAGAGGAATGAAAGAAATAGAAATCAAGAAGAAAGCCTGATGCAAGATCCTGCAGAGAGGACTCATTACAGGCAAAATAAGTGAAAGAAACTTGTATTTGGTGTTGTCTTACCTCCCTTGCATTCTTATTTATTGAGCCTCTTCTTATCCCTTGTCCAATATTCTTGGTGTGCACAAACTCTCATTTTAACATTCCTAATAACCCCGTCTAAGTTTGTCGTTTCCCTTCTAAAACTACCACCAAGCGTGCCATCCTCCAAAGTTACCCCTTATTCCTAATTCTGAATTCTTGATCTCAGCTAAGCATCAGTTAAGAAGAAAGGAATCTTATCAAAATAAGCCTCTTGGATTTTAAAAGAATGCTTATTATTCAGTTAAATCCCTAGTAGGCATCAGGAATGAAGAGCCTCTGATGCATGTCTCCTTATCAATCCTGATACAGCTAAACTGAAACAAAATTAGAGGGACCCCTATAACTGGCTCCAGCTTAGCCCAAGCTGGCTTTGTCCTTAGATCCAAAAATACTAAAGCTGTTAGAGACCCTAGAAATGATCTACTTCACACTTCTGGTGCAGATAAATAAACTCTGGTACAGAGTGGACAGGATTCTTCTAGGGTCACATGACTGCTAATTGCAAAGCCAGGTCTGAACCACATCAGTGCTTATAGAGAACTTATCCTCACTATGGTCCTTAATTTACTCTTGTTGACAACAGTATTTGTCAGGGCAAAGATAACTCCAGGCAGAGATTCAACATAGTCCTTTGAACTCTCCAAATAACAGTAACCACAGTTACAGTAGACATGAAAGGCCAAGTGTCCTCTCATGAGCCATTCTGGGGTTAGGATCCTGAAAAACTAGGCACTACCACTACATTCCAAACATTCTGCAAAATAACATTTCAAGCCAGAGACAATGTATTCTCAGAGACTCTCACCAAAGAGAGTGAGGCAGGCTATTCCTGAGATCTTCCCAGAACCAAAGGTATTGAAGAGGCACTTGTAACACCCTTCATCTTCCAAGGTGGTATTCCAGAAGGTAATGGTTGAGTTCGTGAGTCCCAGCTGGGTGATGTTTATCTTGTCCTTATAGGCAGGCTGGACTACAACCCCATGGTTCTGGCTAAAGGTGATCATGTTTTCTGGGCTTACAGCCTTGATTTTTTGCCATGTCACAATCAAAACTTCCTGGGGATTTTGCAGAGAGCATCTTAAAGAAGCAGGTGCGTTCAGCAACTCTCTTACATCTTGGGTCTCCACTTTCATCATGGAATCATAAAAAACATTTAAATTTTAATACATACACAAATATACATTTTTTTGATTAAAAACAATGCACGTTCAAAGTCAAATTTAGAAAAGATACAGAAAAATGCAAAAAAAGAAAACGTTTACCTACCTTCCTGATGTTGCTAGAGAAATATAAGTTCAAATATTTGTTCAGTCTTTAAGAGTAGCAGAGGAGAAAAATAAGAAAGCAAAATCCCAGTGATCAGAAATTACATGAAGAATCCCTGTAGGCTGGAAATTAGGTGAAGTGAGGTTGAAGATGGAAAGTGCCAAATAGGATAGAAGCATCACCAAGTGAGTTTATGCCTGGAGCAGTAACAGGAATAGCTAGGAATAAGAAAGGGCCAACGGACAATAGGCAGAGTGATTAGTTTAAGTGAAGAAGGTATAGCAGCTCTGGACATTCCACACACATACCTGCAAAGGAAGGAGCAGCAGTAGTGATGTCTGCCTTCAGGAAGCAGTGGTGAGTATAGGAACACAAGATAGAGAGATATACAGGACAGTGCTCCAGGAGGCTGATAGTACCAGAGAGATTTGACCACCAAATGACAATCTACACATTCCCCTATTTTTACTGTATGCAGTGCAGAATATAAGGTATGGCAATAATTTCTTCCCCCTCCAATGCTGGCTAGTCATATTGATATGATAGATGACTCAATGGGAGATCTCAGTAAAACAAATAGCCAAACATTTGAGAAAGTTAACACAATGATAGAGGAATAATAAACTCTACAAACCCAAGAACTCACCAAATGAATAAAAATATCATAAATAAATTTATTTATCATAAATAAATTTATTTATTTATTATCATAAATAAATAAATTTTGATGTGAATAAATGTGATATCTTAAGTGTGAAAAGGAACCAGCACTGTAGATAGTAGAAACTATAGATGCAGAAAATGAGAAATGTAAACTCTTAACAGACTTAGCAGAATGAATATCACTGAAGAGTAAATTAGTAAGTAGGAAGACCAGGTCATAGAATTTTTCCAGAATGTAGCACAAAGGGATAAAGATATAGAAAGGATTAAAGAAAAATTCAAAGACTAGAATGTTTCAGCATGAGTCCAGTAAGCATTTTAAAAGGAGAGAAAGGGGAGAATAGAAGACAAAAACACTGTAAGGAACAAAAATATATTTTTCAAAATGATAAAAGGAGGAATCTAAAATAAGACATACTAATCATGAATTTTCATGCACCTAACAACATAACTCTGACATATATAAAAACCTAATAGAACTACAAAGAAAAATCCATAATCATAATGAGAGAGTTTTTCATTGTTCTCTTGGAATTTTCACTTCCACATATTAAAAAAATAAGTAAGCCGCATAGCACAGGGAGATCAGCTCGGTGCTTTGTGACCACCTAGAGGGGTGGGATAGGGAGGGTGGGAGGGAGGGAGATGCAAGAGGGAAGAGATATGGGAACATATGTATATGTATAACTGATTCACTTTGTTATAAAGCAGAAACTAACACACCATTGTAAAGCAATTATACTCCAATAAAGATGTTAAAAAAAGTAAATAAAGCAATAAAATCAAATATAAGGATATAGAACATTTGAAAAACAAATTTTTATATACAACTTATTATATATGTATGTGTAGTATGTGCATATGAGCATGTATTTGTAAACTTTTACCCAAAAGAAAACATACAATCTTTTCAAACAACATACGGAACATACCCTCAAATTGAACTTGAAATAGTGTACAAAAAAATGACCTTGAACTCTGTCCATAATGCAATAAAATGAGAAATTTACATGCTTCTTTTAACTCCTTAATTATACCAGAAATCATAACAAGAATTATAAATCACTATGAATGACAATAAGAATATCTTATATTAAAATCTGTAGAAATTTACAAAGCAGGTCTCAGAGGGAAATATTTAATCCTAACTTAATTTACTGGGAAACAAGAAAGACTGAAGAAAATGAATACACACAGATATCCAAAATTCCCACCCCACCCAAGAAATGATAAAAGGAGTGAATTAATAAAGTTGAAGGCACAAATTAATAAAATGGTACAAAAAATTTTGACTTAAAACACCAAATCTGTTATTTTTTTTAAGACTAATAACACAGATAAACTGTTAGAGTAATTAGAAAAAAAGAAGGCAGCATAAACAAACAATATCCACTCAACAACATCAAGCATGAAAAGACGGGCATAGCAACAAATACAAATTGGAACCCACAAGTGTTGCATAATTCCAATTTTAGTGAGGTGTACTCTTGGTAGATGTGAAAAGTTCTGGGGGGAATACCGGTTGTTAGGATTGGGGTTTCCAAAAGGTTTGTTGGGATTTTGCAGAGCAGAGATCTGAAGAAATTGCTGCTTTTAGAATAGAGAGTAGAAAAGGGATCAAAACTAGAGTTTTAACTTCTTGGGTAACTTTTCTCTCTGACTAATAATTTAGTGGAAGGTTTATAACTCTTCGCTGCATATATGAAACTCCATTTAGGGTTGGTAAATCCTATGTTGTACATGGTATGAAACTTCCCTTTCCTACCCCTGTGAAGGCTGATGTAGTACAACATCACGCAGCAGGTGATAAAAGGCCAGCAGCAAAGTGAGGTGTGGTCTCCTATGGAACCGAGGAGAAGGGACTGGCACAAGTAGGAAATTCAGCAGATGAGTGGAGAGCATAGGTGTATGTTTTATATGATAGACTATGTGAACCTACGTAACTTCCATATTTCATTATTTTTAGTATTTTTCTGTGAGAGGGACACACCCAAATTTAAGGCTTATTACCAGACTACCTTCCCAAAAGGCCATATTCATTCACACTCCCTTAGGCATTCCCATATCTTTACAAACATAGGGAATTATTATTTTAAACATTATTCAATTTGATAGGTGAAAAATGATATCTTAATTTAGGAAGAATTTTTTCATGTCTGGTTTTATCTAGGAAAAGTTTCTTAATATTAAATTCTTTGAAAACATTGGAAAAAATGTGGAAAGCAGAAAGAACCAGTCCTCCAAACGAATTACACACTTAAATAATTCATGCAGACAGATGAACTAACACAGCACAAACAAGAGTGGCCAAACGTTTCCACTCCAAAAACTGTGTTTCCTGGATTCCACGCAGGGGAATTGAGTATCTTTACCTTGTGCCCTGCAAAACATCATGGCAGCCAAGAACCAAATCAGTTGGAAGGTAGACAGATGACAGAAGAGCCTCCTCAACACCTGAAGACAGAAAGCAAAGTACAGAAGTGGGCATTTGGATGTGGACAAAGCTAAGGAAGCTTCAATCTAATCGCTGTTTCAGGAAATGCTGCAGCTAAAGTTTTAACCACCGGAAACCTTTGGTTTTGTGGAAGCAGAACCAGAGACTATAAATGGAAGAAATAACAGAGGGTGCTCAGGATATGGGAAGGGAAAAGCAGCAGTGTGGTTCCTTCATTATGGCCATCAATAAGCAATTTGAGGCCTTGCTTCCAAAGCCACCACTGTCAAGACTGCTGGGAAAACAAACTGCCATAAGTATACTCAGAAAACATAGAGACGGCAAATGCTGAAGAACATTCTCTCCCCAGATAATCCACATCTGTTTATATTAAAAATGTAACTCAGGTTGTAACCACTTGGCAGCATATGTGACTGCTGAGGTAGATTTTCCTGCAAATTTTGCACAGTTTATGTAAATTTTACCTTTTAAAAACCAGTAGTGGCTTTATTTTTTCTTCATTGCTTTATGTTCATGTGTCTGGCAGAAATCCTTGGCCTTTTTACAAATCATGGTGGTATTTAAGGGACTATTATTCTGGGTATAATTTTGCTATAAAATGAGAGAGTGGAATGGAGACAGAATAACTTTACTCTGCAGCAGCCCCATGGCTGGCTTTGGTCTACATTAGTGTGTTCATTGTAAGGGGGTATAAGCAAGGAATGTAAATTTTCCCTATATTTTTTCCTATATTCTATATTTTTCTATAATTGAGGTATGTAAGAAATATAGGTTTCTCTGTATTTTTCTTTAACTTGAACTTTATTTTTATTTCATGTTGCCATTCCAACTAGAGGTAGAGACTTAATTTCAGTCAATATCACATAATCTCTGTCAGTTTAGCCCACCAACACTTCACAATTGTCCCAAGCTCTGGCACTGCATCCATAGTCCTGGGAATGCCAAGCCGTGGGACAGGACCATTAACCCTTGGTTACAACCATCTATCCATGCTGGCACTATGTTCCCTTCAAGTCATCCTGCTCATCGGTTTGTGCAATTAAATCTTGTGCTTACAGGATGTTCTCTCATGTTTCCCGATTCTCCAGATTCTGTGCTCTTGGATTCTTCTGTGCTGAACAAAGGAGAATTCTGCAAGGCTCTCTGACTAGACTCCCATGTATCTGTCCCTCTCTGTTTTACAGTTCCCTCGCCATGATGGGCAGGCTTGCCTCTTCCCACAGTTCCCCACAAGAAAGCAAGGCACAGGTGTTTTCTGTTCTTTGATTTCAATACCTACCTGTAAGTTCTATTCACCACCCTCCTGGACTCCCTACTCCCAGGGGCCAGGCACAGAGCATCCTTTTCAGGACACAAGCCGACACTAGTCAGTCCCTCTTTGCTCTCCCACCTAGGGTTAAAGAAGCTGCTTCCTCCATCACCTTGTATTCTTCCCATCAACTTTTTCTGGGATGAAGGCCTGTCCTTGGCCTTTCAGCATTTAGGCTTTTAAAACTCAAATGCTTAGGCTTTTGCTATTTCAAAACTTTGGCTTCTGAGTGTCCATCAACAGATGAATGGATAAAGAAGATGTGAATGGATAAAGAAGATATACAATGGAATATTACTCAGCCATAAAAAGAAATGAAACTGAGTTATTTGTAGTGAGGTGGATGGACCTAGAGTCTGTCATACAGAGTGAAGTAAGTCAGAAAGAGAAAAACAAATACCGTATGCTAACACATATATATGGAATCTAAAAAAAAAAAAAAAGGTCATGAAGCACCTAGGGGCAAGACGGGAATAAAGACACAGACCTACTAGAGAATGGACTTGAGGATATGGGGAGGGGAAAGGGTAAGCTGGGACAAAGTGAGAGAGTGGCATGGACATATATACACTTCCAAACGTAAAATAGATAGCTAGTGGGAAGCAGCCACATAGCACAGGGAGATCAGCTCCGTGCTTTGTGACCACCTAGAGGGGTGCGATAGGGAGGGTGGGAGGGAGGGAGATGCAAGAGGGAAGAGATATGGGGATATATGTATATGTATAGCTGATTCACTTTGTTATAAAGCAGAAACTAACACAACATTGTAAAGCAATTACACTCCAATTAAGATGTTAAAAAAAAACAAACAAAAAAACTTTGGCTTCTGAAACTAAAAAGTTTTCTTTGGCATTCGAATTCCACACCATCATGTCACATGGAAATCCAGGCTCTAGCAAAGGCTGCGATGAGGAATGCAAATAGTTTGGCTTTCTGAGTAAAAATCTGTCTTTTAGGATAAGAGAGAAAGCAGACACACACCAAAACACAAGATGTACGAACTGGGGGCCAGCAGTGTTTAAGAAACAGAAGCACAGTGATTGAGGCAAAGGGAATTAGAAAGAAAGCTTTGCTATTAATTATATACACATTTCCTCTGGCTGACTTGAGTTCAGGCTAGCACCAATATTAGATGTGTAAGCTAGGACAAATCATTTTACCTCTCTGAAATGCAGAAAAAAATAATAGTACCAACCTTCTCTCTGTTAAAAAGACTAAATGAGATAGTATATGTAAAGCTCCTAGAACAGTGACTGATACAAATACGCACTAAATCAATGTTGCTGTTATCTCTTTGGGTTACTATGAGAATTAATTAAGCATTTAAAGTACTTAATACAGTGCCTAAGGTATGGTAAAAGCCAATATATATTAGGTAACTTAAAAAAATTCATTAATCAGATCACACAATAATGGAAATAGAGAAGTCCATTTATAACCTTTGTCAAGAGGGCCAGGGTTCAGAGGCCTGGGTCTTACCTGACAGCTGCCCATCTACTTTGCCCCTATACATACCTCTTCCCTGAAAATTTCTAGGTCCAAATCCTGATCCTGCCACATACAGTCACATGGACTTGGAAAGCTTAACCTCTCTGCCTGTTTCTCTATTTGTAAAATTGGATAATAACTCCTCCTTTGAAGGATAGTGGTGAAGATTAAGAGCACCTGGCACTCAGTAAACACTAGCTCTAAGGCCACCATTCTCCTTTATTAAGGAAAACAGTGAAATAACTGGCTGTGTGATCCTGCCAATAAACTATATACAAAAAAAAAAAACCTACCTCCAGGCATTACTTGTATTTAGATTTTAATTTTTATTATTTTTATCAATTACCAATGTAAATGAAAATCCTCTCCTTCCTTCATTTTGTCATATACACAGGTCCTGAATAAACAAAATGTCTGTCTCTCGTGGATACTCAGGGTTTTAACCCCGATTTATCCAATCCTTTATGGCTTCCCAAGGCAAAGACCCAGAGGATGCAGAAAGAGGCTGGAGCATCACAGAGGGCGCCAGCTCTCCTGGACAGCCTGAGCCTGAAATTCTGCAACCCCACCCCAGGTTTCAGGGCCCAAACGGAGCCAATACAGCACCCTCTATCCCCGCCGCCAGCGCCCGCCTCCCAGCCCAGTTCCTGTCTGAGGATGTCAAGGATCTTCGGAGAAGCGTCTCCGGAGCCTGCGCCTGGCAGCATCCTTTTTCCAGCGCACTGGGACGGAGTACCAGAACGCCAGGAACGGCCTGTAAACCACCCTTTGGAAGGCAAAATCCGCTTCTCAGCAAGGTTAAGAGCTGAGGGGAAAGCGCTAGCAGAAATCCCATCTCCGAACCAGACTGGGGAGAGCCGCAGCCCGGCGCTCTCAGCCCGCCACCGCCCCAGGGCCGCCGGAGCGATGTCGCCCATCCTGCGCCCCCTTTCCCACGCCTGGCCCGGCTCACCAGCCACTCCATCCTCGCTCCTGGCCGCGCGGGGTGTTTGGCTTCAGCTGGGAAGCCCGGAGGGATCTCACACCGGACCAGACTGAGCTCCTTCAGTTCTGTGGAGCAAGGATGCGCCCCGCCAGCGCCTGAGGAGAGCTGCCTCACTCCTCCTCCGACACAAATACCCCTCCTCCCCACCCCCGCCCCGCCCCCCAAGCAGAGGCGTGAAGACCAGTTTTTTCCAGTTTACTTGTAGGGGATAAAATAAAATAAATAGTACTCCTCTTTTCCTATCTTCAAAACGATTCGCAGTTTTCAGAGGTGGCAACTGGGGAAACAGAATATGTTTGAAAAAATATACACCGTTTCCATTTTCATTGTACAGACAGAAAGGAAACAGGGAGAGGTGGGAAGACATGAATTGTTTCCCTGCGTTGGCGCTTGGAGGAATGGCAATCTACACTGTGCAGCTGGCAAGTGCGAAATGATTTTTGAGCAACGTTACACAGTTTCCACAATTACCACCTCGGAAAATCCAAATATTTTGAAGCTGAATTTAAACAGTAGACACTTTACAAAACAAATGTATATTTATTTTTATCCAGAACCAAATTATATATTGAAGCTATCAATGCTGTAATGATCTCTCATGATGTGACTGGGTTTTTTCCTCTATGTGTGGAGTTTTCTTTCATTTGTACTGATGATAAGGATTCTTCTCATTTTATTTTTTTATTCTTTACAAGTTCCAGAGTTCTTGGCTCTTAAACAAACAAAGACAGACAAACAAATCAATGAAGTGTTCAATTCCTAAAGCCTTTTCTGTTTTCCTAACACCACCCCTATGACAAGGTGCTGGGACAGAGCTTTTACCTAAGGATCCATGGGGCTGTAAATTCCAGGGCGGTAACGAAAATAATGACTGATTTTCAGAAAAACACAAACACATTGAAAGGACTAAAATATTCATGGAGTGGCAAACAGGAAACAAAAGAAAGCCAACTTATAGACATAGTGGAATTAAGATCAAATTAAGGAAATTGAAAGAAAATTCTTAAAGCTTCAAAAATGACAAGTAGAGACACCAAGAAAGAGAATCAAAGTGACTTTATTTTTTTAAACAGCTGTGTTTCATTTATTTAATTAATTATTTTTATTTTTAGCTGCATTGTGTCTTCATTGCACGCAGGATTTCTCTAGTTGCCGTGAGCGGGGTCTACTCTTCGTTGTGGTGTGCGGGCTTCTCATTGCAGTGGCTTCTCTTGCGGAGCACGGGCTCTAGGCGTGCGGGCTTCAGTAGTTGTGGTGCGTGGGCTCAGTAGTTGCAGCACGCGGGCTCTAGAGCACAGGCTCAGTAGTTGTGGTGCACGGGCTTAGTTGCTCCGCAGCATGTGGGATCTTCCCAGACCAGGGATCGAACCCGTGTCCCCTGCATTGGCAGGTGGATTCTCAACCACTGTGCAACCAGGGAAGTCCCAAACGTGACTTTTTTTTTTTTTTTTTGCAGTACGCGGGCCTCTCACTGCTGTGGCCCCTCCCATTGCGGAGCACAGGCTCTGGACGCACAGGCTCAGCGGCCATGGCTCACGGGCCCAGCCGCTCCGCGGCATGTGAGATCTTCCCGGACCGGGGCACGAACCCGTGTCCCCTGCATCGGCAGACAGACTCTCAACCACTGTGCCACCGGGGAAGCCCCCCAAAGTGACTTTAAATGTCACAAGGCAGTGCTGGATGCAAAAAGGCAATGAGTTAACTTTCAAATATTGAAGAAAAATAACTTTGAATTCTACTTTGTCTTTTATAAATATTGCTACAGAGGTATATTTTAAAAATACATTTAATTTTTTGATTAAATGTGTTATTCATAGAGGAAAGTGCATACATCATAACTACCCAGTATGAATCGTCATAGAGTAAACATACTTGCATAGCCAGAAGCAGATAAAAATCTGACTATTCCCAGCTCACCAGAAACTGTCCTACTCTCTTTGCCTACCCTTTCTGTCACTGCCACCTTCCCACCACTCTTACTTTCAACATCATAGACTAGACTTGCCTGTTCGTAAACTTTGTATAAACGGCATCATAGAGTATGTCCTCATTTGTATCTGGGTTCTTTCACTCAACAGATTTGAAAAATTCATCCATGTTATTGCATGCAGTTGTGGTTCATTCATTCTCACTGCTGTATACTATCCCATTCTTTAAATGACACATTTATTTATCTATTCTGCTGTTACTAGACATTTGTTTGTTTCCATTTTGGGGTTATTTTTAATAGTGGTGTTATAAACATTCTTATACATGGCTTTTCCTAAACACATGTACACCATGCTGTTAGATTATTTTTTGTTTTTGCCAGTTTTATCTTTTTCTATCACTTTACTTTAAAATTTTCTCTATTGTTTTCCCCCCCAAGTACATAGATGATATTTTGCAGATGATATTTTGACATTTAAAAAAATCTACTTAAAGACTCTGTCCTAAATTTTATTAGCAAAATATTATAAAATGACAGGATAAAAAAAGATTTTGTTAAGCATATAAATCTCAGAAAATTTATTACATCAAGACTCTCCTTGAAAATATTTTCAAAAGAAGTATTCTAGAAAAAAGAAAAATTAATCCAGGAGTATGCTACATAGAAAGATATGCAGAAAGGGTAAATAAACTCATCAAAACTTATAACTGCCTAGAAAAAGCAAGATTCCCAAAATTGTATGCTCATAATTCAATAATTCAAACGTGCATGGAAGGGGGTAAGAGGTTAGATAATAAGATTATGACAGGTAGGTGAGAATTATGCCAAGATGTGTATGTTTAAGAAATAAAAATGTAAGCTCTTAGTAAGTTAAGGCAAAACACCAGAAGAATAGCATAAAATATGATTCAAACTAGCAAAAGAATATTTAACCTAGTGAAAGACAGTATAGGAGAAAAGAGAAAAATGTTACCAGTATGAAATGTGAAAGTCAAAAATAAAATGGACAAAATGTTCTATTATATTAGTATTTATGACATATACAAGTAAGTTAAAAACACAAAAGATAGAGACTTGGGATGCAGAAGAGTGAACAAAAGAGGGGAAAAAAAATCCCTACCATCATGGAGCATAAACATTGTTTAAAAATTCTTTGGAAAATAAGAAATGTGCTTATATAATTTAACACTTTGCAAGAAAGGAAAAAATGATGTTTAAAATTCTTGGACAAATTTAAAGGAGCACTCTGAGCTAATTTATCACCTGAAATATATATATCAGATACCAATGTTGAGCAAAAGAAGCAAACACTGAACTCAACAAAATAAGGACAGATACAATAAAACTACAGGTAAAAATCAATAAAAAGGAACAAAATTGAATATATATAAAAGGATTTTTTTCCTAGAGATTGATTGAACAAACCTATGGTAAAATTTACTAAGAAAAATAGAAAATAAAAAGAAACAATATAGAATGAAAGTTAGAAATAATACTGGTATAACAAATAGAAAAAATAACAAGACAGTATTATAAACAATCATATCAATTAAAAAATTCTGAAAGTGACAGATTGATCATAAGAATTTTTACCATTTTAATTGACATTTTAACAACATAAAATCTTCCAATTCATGAACATGGAATGTCATTCCATTTCTATGGAATGTCATTCCATTCCATTCCATTCTCTAATTTCTTTCATTAATATTTTATAGTTTTCACTTTACAATTCTTTTTTTAACATTTTTAAAAAATTGAACTAATTAGGACTTACTGTATAGCACAGGGAACTCTATTCAATACTCTGTAATGATCTATATGGGAAAATAATCTAAAAAAGAGTGGATATATGTATATGTATAACATATACATATATGTATATATGTATGTATATATGTATATGTATAACATAACATATATGTATATGTATCACTTTGCTGTACAGCAGAAACTAACACAACATTGTAAATCATCTATACGCCAATAAATTTTTTTTAAAAAATTGAAGTATAGTTAATTTACAATGTTGTGTTAGTTTCAGGTATACAGCAAAGTGATTCATTTATACATACATATATATATATATTCTTTTTCAGATTCTTTTTCATTATAGGTTATTACAAGTTACTGAATATGGTTCCCTGTGTTGTATAGTAGATGATGTATGAGCATTTTACTTATTTATTTTTGTTTTGTTTATTTATATATTTATTTATTTATTCCTGTTTTCTTGAGATATAATAGAATACAGCATGTATAAGTTTACGGTGTACAGAATAATGATTTGATTTACATGCATCATGAAATAATTACTACAATAAATTTAGTGAAGATCCATCATCTCATGTAGATACAATAAAATAAAAAGGAAAAATTGTTCTCCTCATGATGAGAACTCTTAGGATTTACTCTCTTAACAACTTCCATATATAACATAGAGCAGTGTTAATTATATTTATCATGGTGTGCATGACATCCCTAGTACTTATTTATCTTATAACTGGAAGTTTGTACCTCTTGACCAGCTTCATCCAATTCCCCCTCCCCCCATTCACTGCCTGTGGTAACCACAAATCTGATCTCTTTTACTATGAACTTGTTTGTTTGTTTTTGAAGTAAAATAGACCTACAACACTATGTTTGTTCCCAGTGCACAACATAGTGATTCAACATTTCTATACATTACAAAATGGTCACCACAATAAGTCTAGTTACCTCCTAGACCATAAAAAGATATTACATAGTTATTGACTATATTCTCTACACTATACCTTTCATACCTGTGACTCATTTATTATGCAACTGGAAATCTGTACCTCCTAATTTTCCTCATCTATTTCTCTCATCCACCCACTCTATCCCCTCTGGCAACCATCTGTTCTCTGTATCTAAGACTTTTTCTATTTTGTTATGTTTGTTCCTTTGTTTTGTTTTTTAGATTCCACATATAAGTGAAATCATATGGTATTTATATTTCTCTGTCTGACATTTCATTTAGCATAATACCATCTAAGTTCATCTATGTTGTCACAAATGGCAAGATTTCATTCTGTTTTATGGTTGAGTAGTATTCCATTGTATATATATACAAAACCTACTTTATCCATTCATCTATCAGTGGGACCTTAGGTTGCTTCCTT